AACCAGCTCGTGCTTCGCATAATTATGAAAGAGCTTCTACTTAGATTCCTAAAACTGAAGAAAAGACAGTGAATCTAAATCCTAACTTTTGAACCTAACATCAGAAATGAGCTTAAATTTTTTAATGCACCTAAAAAAGTTAAAACATCAATAACCAAAATTCAACACTCATCTCTTTTTCATCATTATCTCAGCAGCTAAAAAGCAGGCAAAATAAAATGAAACAACAGCATAAAGGTACCATCGTGGTCACCGAATAGTAGGGATGTCAATGGGGTCCCGCGGGATCGGAGAGTCCCTCTCCATCCCCGTCCTCGTCCCCGTCCCCGCGAATCACGAGGATGGAATCCCCGCGGAGATTTTTTACGGGGGCAGATTTTGTCCCCCATCCTCGTTCCCCACGGGGAATGGGGACCCCCGCAGGGATCCCCATTCCCCGCCAATTAATCTCATCAACAACAACACCCGACTCATCTACCAAACAAGAGATCGTATTTCAAATAGAAGCATTCATTCATTTTTCGACCAATCAATTCATTTACCAGACACAAACAAAGATATCCAAGACATAGGCATATAGCATTCCGATCCAATGAAGGACTATAATGAACTAAGATTTTATGAAGAATAAAGGAAATAACGACAAAGAAGCGCCCAAATCTTCTAGTATCTACGCTTTGCCAAAGTTACTTAAATTCCAATTTGTTACACAGTTTGGTTGCTAAGAAAGCTAAAGAAAAAAAAAAAAGAAATTTGGATTCAAGTTTAGAAAATCTTGAAAAGTTCAAACATTTTACTAGAAGAATCGGAGAAATGTAACGTTGATGGCATTAAAAGAGTTGATTACTCCAACATAATCAAAAGGAGAATCAATAAAACGGGGGAGTATGAAGGCACAAGTATGGAATCAATCAAGGCGTGAGACCAGAGATAATGGAAACACGCAAGAAATCATTCACACAGCAGAAATTGAGGAGAGACAAAAGCAACATCTCTGAAAGCAACGGTCAAATTATATTAGTAAAGCAATCTGTATTTTCCTTAACTGTACCTCAATTTCAGCATCTAGATTAGCTCTTGTAAGTGTATATATTGGTATATGCTTGTACAGAATAATACACAACTTAATATAGAATCAGTATTCTCCCAAAATCTTTAAAACCTCTTCATGGTATCAGAGCAAGTTGCTCACTGCATCTGAATATCCTATTTGAACCTTGCTTTCTCAATATATTTTTTTTTTCTTCGATTATCCAACAGTTTTTCATGGCCAAGAACAAAAGCACTCTCACTGGTCCAGTAACACCGAAACCCCCTTAGTTAACAGCAATCCTGCACCACAACAAAGCATGTTACAGAAGAAATTTCAACCAAAGACCATGACATCACAAGGTGAGAAAACTTGTCAAATTTGTGGAATTAATGGTCATACTGCTTTGAAATGCTGGTATAGGTTTGATCATGCTTACCAAAGTGAAGAATTACCTCAAGCACTTGCAACAATTACTCTGGAAGATGACAAGGATCAAACCTTCTATGCCGACACCGGAGCCAGTGATCATATGACCTCAGGGACAGGTAATCTTATTTTTAAAAGGCCTTATAATGGGAAGCAAAAGGTTTATACAGGTGATGGAACACCTTTGCACATCACTCACATTGGATCCACGTCTGTTGGTCCATTAAAACTTAATAATGTCTTAGTTGTTCCCAATCTTAAAAAGAATCTTATTTCCATTAGCAAGTTTACTGAAGAAAATCCATGTATCTTTGAGTTCTCATCTTCTGGTTTTGTGGTTAAGGATCAAATAACACAGGCGGTACTGGCCAAAGGCACTAGAAAGGGCCAACTCTATGCCTTAGATGAAGGGGAAAAATATGCTCTTGCAACTATGACAAATAAGGCTGCTGACACCATATGGCATCAACGCCTCGGACACCCCAATTCCCGCATTTTAAAGAATTTATCTTCAAAGAAGAACATTGTAGTGTCAAGATGGACTACACCTCCCCACTTATGCACAAGTTGCCAAATGGGGAAGAGTTGTAAATTGCCATTCACAAGAAATAATGAAAGAGCGAAATTCCCTTTTCATAAAATACATTGTGATCTTTGGGGGCCCTCTCCTGTTCAATCGACTCATCATTTTCTGTATTATGTAATCTTTGTGGATGACTATAGCAGGTACACATGGTTCTATCCTCTACATAAGAAGTCTGAATTCTTCAACATCTTCCAAAAATTTCAGAAGATGATTATGAATCAATTTCAAAGGACCATCCAGATATTTTAATGTGATGGTGGGGGAGAATTTTCTAGCACAGTATTCCTCAATCACTTGGCAGAGTGTGGCATTCAACAGCAAGTTTCATGCCCTGGAACTCCAGAACAGAATGGAGTTGCAGAAAGGAAACACAGGCATATCACTGAGACAGGTTTGACTATGCTTTTTCATGCAAACATGCCACTAAGGTATTGGGTTGAGAGTTTCTCTACTGCAACTTATCTCATTAACAGGCTGCCTACTCCTTTGTTAAATAATAGAAGTTCTTTTCACTTACTTTTTGATAAATCTCCAAATTACTCTATGTTAAAGGTGTTTGGTTGCCGGTGTTTTCCTTATCTTCGCAACTATGCAGCTAATAAACTCCAACCAAGGTCACTTCCATGTGTATTCATTGGATATAGTCCAATCCACAAAGGATATAAATGTCTACATCCTTCTACTCAACGTGTTTATATCTCTAGGCATGTTGCATTTGATGAGCATTTTTTACCTTATACAGATCTAACAAACATTTCTAAGAATGTTGATACAGATGGGGAACTTTGCAAATACCCAGATTCTGATGGATGGCTCCAAGCTGTTTCACATTTACAACCATCCAAGGATATAGATGACGTGCCTTCAATTTCAACACTACCTCAACAATTCACAGATCTTACAAGTGAGGAGGAGCACTCTCAACTCGCCATTAACAGAATTAGTGCAATTCCATCAGTTAATGAGGATGAGACATCACAACAGAGTCAAGACAATGGGACAATAAGGACAACAGAAAATAATAACAGTCCTATGCTTGCTCCCACAGAAGAAAATCAAAGAGAACTAGTACATGAAGAACAAGGAAATGAAATTCAATATCAAAGAAGCCAAGAACAGTCTGGAAACCCTGAAATTATTGAAGTAGTGGTTCCGAATCGGAGTGGCGTGTCACCACCTTCTCACAACAATGTTTATATTTCTACTCATCCTATGCAAACAAGAGCCCGTACAGGAGCTCATACTAGACATGTTAAAACCATATTTCCAAAGAATGCAAATACCATGGTGACTGACAAGTCTATTTTGCAATTTGCAGGTCCTGATATTATGGAACCTAAAACAGGTCGAAAGGCACTTCAAAGCACACATTGGGTCAAAGCAATGCAAGAAGAAATTGATGCTCTGCATAAAAATAACACCTGGACGTTAGTGCCACCACCATCGGAGACAAATATAGTTGGGTCCAGATGGGTTTTCAAAACCAAGCTTAACCCAGATGGTACGGTGGAAAGATTTAAAGCTCGTCTAGTAGCTAGAGGCTTTTCCCAAATGCCAGGAGTGGACTTTGAGGAAACATTTAGTCCTGTTCTTAAACCAACAACACTTCGGTTGGTTCTTGCCTTTGCAACAACTCTAGAATGGCCATTAAGGCAACTTGATGTAAAGAACGCCTTCCTCCATGGCAAGCTCAAGGAAATGGTTTATATGACACAACCACCAGGTTTTGAAGATCCCAAATATCCTCACTATGTGTGTCAACTCAATTGCTCCATCTATGGTTTAAAGCAAGCTCCCAGGGCCTGGTTTGACACATTCACACTATACCTACTAAAAATGGGTTTTCATTGCAGTCAAGCTGATTCTTCATTCTTTGTTCTTCATAATCCAAAAGGAACAGCTCTTCTACTTGTCTATGTGGATGACATTGTGCTCACGGCTAGCTCCGATGATCTACTTTAGAACATAATTTCTCATCTCAGCAGGGAATTTGCTCTTAAGGATGTTGGTGATCTTCGATATTTCCTTGGTATCGAGGTTGATAAGTTTTCTGGTGGCATATTTCTATCTCAAGCGAAGTATGCTCATGACATTCTTACTCGAGCTTCAATGTTGGAGGCATGATCCATAGCTACTCCATTAGCAACAAAGGAAAACACTACCTCAAAAGATTGTGACCTCGTTGATGCTCATGAATATAGAAGGATTGTAGGGGCACTACAATATCTAACTATAACCAGAATTGATATATGTCATGCTGTAAATAGAGTATGTCAATTCATGCAAAATCCTACACTTGCTCACCTACGACAAGTCAAAAGGATTTTACGCTACATGAAGGGGACCTTGCAGTATGGCCTTCGATTTTCCTCTTCCAGTACTTTGTCCTTAACAGGATTTTGTGATGCAGATTGGGCGGGCTGCCCTATTACACGAAGAAGCACTACTGGGTATTGCATATTTCTTGGTGCAAATTGCATCTCTTGGTCTTCGAAGAAGCAGCCTACTATAGCACGCTCTACTGTAGAAGCAGAGTATCGTGCTTTAGCCTCTACAACAGCTGAAATGGTATGGATTACTTATTTGCTTCGAGATATTGGAATTTCTCTACCTTCACCTCCGCAACTATTCTCGGACAACATAAGTGCATTACATATGTCTATTAATCCTGTGTTTCATGCTCGAACAAAGCACATTGAACTAGATTATCATTTTGTTAGAGAAAAAGTGGCATTAGGAACACTTATCACCCGATATATTCCCAATACCGAACAAGTTGCAGACATTCTTACTAAGCCATTGCCCCGGCAACAATATCAGCTTTTACGTTTCAAGCTTGGAGTGGTAGCTTCACCCCACTTCAGCTTGAGGGGGAGTATGAAGGCACAAGTATGGAATCAATCAAGGCGTGAGACCAGAGATAATGGAAACACGCAAGAAATCATTCACACAGCAGAAATTGAGGAGAGACAAAAGCAACATCTCTGAAAGCAACGGTCAAATTATATTAGTAAAGCAATCTGTATTTTCCTTAACTGTACCTCAATTTCAGCATCTAGATTAGCTCTTGTAAGTGTATATATTGGTATATGCTTGTACAGAATAATACACAACTGAATATAGAATCAGTATTCTCCCAAAATCTTTAAAACCTCTTCAAAGGCTTGCTTTATTTTCTTTTCCGTAGGTTTTTCTCCAACCAAACAGAGCATTAAACAAACAAATTAATAAAAAATCAAAAACCTTTAAGATTAAATGTTAAACTCCAAGAACTGGAAGAAAACCAGATTTCGGGGAAATGAAATCGACCGAGCTTTGCAAGAATCTTTGAGGTGGCGATCCACAGAGAAGAAGGAGGCGGAGGAGGAACCATGGCTGATGGAAGCCGGAGAGGACATGACGTATCAAAGAACAATGGTTGTGATTTTGCGATCTCAACTCGAAGAACACGGCGTATCAAAGAACAACGGCCTGAGTCTCCCCATTACCAGCGTTCTCAACTCGGGGCACGCCTGCAAGGATCTTCACGCACTTGTGCGCCACAAGAGCGCGAATCTGGCGTACCACACTCAGGCTTCCATTCACCATCCCAACCTTCCTCCTTGTTTTACCTCCCTTCTTCCCACCTTTGGCCATTTTCTTCTGCGATGCCTTCCTGCCACGGATCGAACCTGGTGTAGGATTCTTTGCACTGTAATCAAGAGACAGCGAAACGTCACCTTCTGGAAGCAGGGAGCGGAGGATGCCAGTTTGAGACTTGAAGCCGATTGCTGAGCCGTTGGTGAAGAGGTGGTAAGGAGCGCCGGAAGGGATAGGTTCGAGGACGGAGAGAATGGGGCAAAGGGGAGAGGAAGGTTGAAGGTGAGAGTGAGTGAGGAGAGATGAGTTAAGGCTAGGGTTAAGAAGTCAATAATGGGTTGAGCTAATTTTTATGGGTTGGGTTGGGTTGGGTGGGATAAAATTGGGATAAGTTTAATTTTTATTGGGTTGGGTTTGAATTTAAAAATTGAATTAAATTTAAAATAAAATTAATTTTTTTTTTATAAATTTTTTGCGGGGATTGGCATCCCCGCGGGACGGAAAAAATTCCCTGTAAAATTTTACGGGGGGAAAATGCCTCTCGTCCTCGTCCTACGAGGAAAAATATTCTTTTTTGTCCCGTCCCCGTAACGGGGATCCCACGGGATCTCACAGGAATCGAGACAAATTGCCATCCCTACCGAATAGTGGCATAGCGACTGTTTGCAAGAGGGTATGAACTACAATTATAAATGCCCGCCACATTGTAAGGATTCCTGTAGAATATCCCAGTATTGATTCTGAAACAGAGCAACAATTCAGAAATTAAATTATTAGTAAGGTTGAAGAACTAGGTATGCAAGAGGAGGAGCTCGATACTCACAAGCGCAGTCATGATGTTTCTGATCCAATCCAGTAATCGGTGGGTGGGGACCATCATTTGTCGGAATTCGGCTCTCCTTGAAGCTGGAATTAACAAACAATTAGCTTTTCAATTGTTGTAGCCCGTTTGCAACATATCTACCAGAATAGGAACAAGCTTTTTGTCCAAGCAAACAACTTGGGACACCAATTATATAGATGCAAATAACTTTGGCATGTGACATTGTTGGCTCCCAAACGTGCCCCTTCTGCTACAAAAGCCCTTAGGTCCAATAAACTGCATTTCCCTTCTTTATGTAATGTAACGAGCTTTATAATTGCTCTACCAACCGATATTTTGTACCCTTGCCCTAATATATAAAGATACATGCTCCATTCAACATTCGAGTTAAATATCTCTACTAAAAATGGATATACATACTTAAGAAATTACTAATAACTAATTAGGCAGAGAAATTAATTGATATTAATGCCTACATTGTCCAAAGACAACATGGTAGCTTGGTAGTATGATGAATTCAAAGAAAGTATAATACTGTATATATAATAGTTAGTGTAATCTTTAGGCAACATTAGACAAAAGTAAGACTGCCCAAACGTTGTAGAGCAGCTATGTTTAAAGAAAACCTCCAACGCGATGAATTTTGAACAATATAAGCTTGCCTGGCGGCTGGGGGTGATTGATTTTCTTTGATCCATTGGTAGCACTACAGCGATCCTCTCCTATTTCACTCCCTCATACAAATCGCCCATTTTCTCCTAGAAATGCTGTACTTAATCTCCAACACATTACGCCAAAGTCCCTTTTCCCCTTTTGCAATCCTCCCCCACCATTTAGCTAATAAAGCTATATTAAACAATCTCAAATCCATTAACTCATTCATATCAAGAAGTCATAACACTCATAATGCTTAAGAGTTACATTTCACCTTGTAACTCACACTCAATTCAACAGATTGAGAATTACATTTTAAATTTAATCTTGTAACTCCCTCTCAATTTAAAAAATGATAATAATATTACAAACTACACCAACAAGAACAAACTTCACTAGTTCGAAATAATGGATTGAAATGGGTGCGTGCCTATTGTTTATTGTCAGCAACAGAGTGCCAGAGCTATTTATAAGCCAAAACTGAGATCAAAATATCAACAATTTATTAAAGAAAAGGTTTACTTTTGAAGATGTTGTTTGTGGGAATGATAGAGACATATGATCATGTCTTGAATGGACATTTGGCTAATAGAGACATGACGGTCTTGGCTAAGATACATTGTTGGAATGATAGAGACATAATTGACTTGGCTAAGATTGTGATATGAGATTGAAAACAAGCTTCACCAATTCGAAATTAAGGGACTGAAATGGATATGTGCCTGTGGTTTAGTTTCAGTAACAAATGTCATGTTTAGTTGGTGGTAGTAATTATTCTTATTTTTTATCAAACTATAAAAATATGATAAACTTAAAAGTTAAAAATAATTAAGGTTTAACATTAATAATTTTCTACTAAACTAAAACATGAAAGAAAATATGTATTCATTCTATTATTAAAAAATAGATATTACTTGATTCTTCGTTAAAGAAAAAAAAATTAAAGATTAAAATTTAGCTACACCTAACTTCCTATGAGAAGTTTTTAAATTTTAACTTGTTTTCATAATTTGACCAAATTAAAAATAGTCCCTACCACCACTCAAACAAGTCCAAAAGTTAAATAAAATGACTCCTAAAATTGAGGCATCTTTACCACCTAATAACCCTTGTTTTATTTTTAATACAATTTAAATTACAAAATATGCTTTCCTTTTCCGATTACTTAGGAAATTTTCCCTTTTAAAATTAGCTAGAACATGAATGTATTTGCCTTTTGTAATTTTTTTCTCCAGCTAACAAGATCGCCAGTTTACCCTATGAAGAACAATTCACCCAGAGTCAAAAAATGGAACCGGTTCCTCTTTGAGCCGCAGAATTACAGTCGAAATTTCTTATTACAAAAGAAGAAGAAGAAAAGACATGGAGCTAATTAGCGAGCTATAACCACTCATAGTTTTGAGGGAAAGGGTGTTGATGACAACAAACTGTCTCATGACAATACTAGATCGATGGAAATTGGGTTTGGGATTGGGTCTCCATTTGTGCAACAGCAAAGCATATATAAAGTAAGAAACAATAACATAAATATTTGCTAAAATCTTGACTTACAGGATGAGAGGTAGAGCAAGGACACCAACATAAAAAGCACCATCTGCCGATCCGCTGCGGGGCTGACCAAAAGGATGGGTTTTCAGCGTCGAGGGGAAGACATCGACCTGTGTTTTTAGGCTGAAAGGATCTGAGGCCTTTCCCTTGCCATTTTCAGAATTTAGGAGAAACGAAGGCATATACCGGATCTATGGAAATTGGGTTTGGGATTGGGTGTCCATTTGTGCAACTGCAAAGTATATTTAAAGTAAGAAACAATAACATAAATATTTGCTGAAATCTTGACTTACAGGACGAGAGGTAGAGCAAGGACACCACCATAGAAAGCACCATTAGCCGATCCGCTGCGGGGCGGACCAAAAGGATGGGTTTTCAGTGTCGAGGGGAAGAGATCGACCTGTGCTTATAGGATGAAGATTCTTAGGCCTTTCCATTGCTATTTTCAGAATTTAGGGGAAACGAAGGCACATGACAATATCAAAATAAGATGGGTCAACCAGTCAAGCAGTTTCCGCCTAGTTGGGATTTTTCAATTGCTGCTAATGGCCCCTTTATCACAAACAAAAAGAAAAAAAAAGGGAAAACATGGTCCCATAACAAGAATAATAAACACAAACCCACTTCCTTATTGAGCGGTACATTCTGCGGATATTCAGAAGAAGAAAGGCAGAATATTAAAAAATCTAGGAAATGTTTGGAAGTGGGGAATTCACAGAGAAAGTAAGAAAAGGCACCTAATTTATATTTTGGGTGGTGCGAGAGTAAGATCTAAATTCAAAACAGTCCCTGGATTGCAGTCTTCTGCCTCAGTTGCAAACAAACAGGCGCTTGATTTCCTTCACAGATCACCACAGGTGGTGCCAGAGTCAGGTCTAAGTTCACATGAAATTCATCTGCACTGATTTGATTAAGAATTGGGTTCAAATTGGCTGTTTTAGGATCATCATGGTGGGTTTGATGGGCAATTTGCCGCTGCACGCCGCCAGTGCTCTTGAGTTCCTCTTCTACCGGAGAGGGAAGTGTGCTAGCAAACATGGGTGTTTGCGGACCATTGTCCAGTGTCAACCTTAAATTCACCTGATCTGGCTTCAGACTGAGCTCTTCACCCTTCTGAGTAATTGGCGGAACATTTGCAGGGGCTAGTTGCGTCTCTTGTTTGATGGCAAGGATGTTAGCTGTAACGATCTCCACATTGACATTATTGTCTGCAACTCCCACGTTGACATTATTACTGTTGGGAAATATTGGCAACTGCTGCTCTTCAAGGTCACGATACATAGCAGGAAGTGGCATGTTCCCTCTCTCGATCTCAATCGGATACCTGATTCCAGCTTCATCTTCGGCCCTGAAGATTGTGACTACATCACCAACCTCCAACTGATTTTCGCGGACAAAGGGTAACCAACCCTTAGAGATTACAGGTTTTTTGTAGCCGTGCCTGCGAGCGGATATGACCATAGGCCAATGTTTGGAGCCATGCCAAAATTCCACAGGCACGAAATGATGATCATTGAATTGTGGGAACAAGTGTAATGCCTTTGTTGGGATGGCAAACCTTTTGCGCCTATCAGTTTGTTTGAGTGGTTTTCTGGCGACAAGGGTTGACAGAGGCATGATGGACTTAACTAGGATTGATGGAATTAATGAAACTGAAAACAAGATTAACTAGATCGAAACAATGTACTGAAATGGATATGTGCCTGGGGTTTATTTTCAGGAACAAATTAAAGCGCCGTCCCTATTTATAAGCCGAAAAACTGAGGTCAAAATATCAGCAATTTGAATAAAAAATTGATTTTTGGAATATAGTCGGTGGCTAAGGTACATATATATGATCATGTCTTAGATGCCATGGCCAGCTAAGGATGACAATTTGCCTTCATCATCATGGGGTCTAATGAGGATCCTCGTTATGGGAACAGGGTGAAGAAGAATTTTTTTTTTTGCAGGATGGGAACAAAAGGTATTTTTTCCCTGTGTATTTTTTTCTCGCTTTGCGGGATCCCACGGGGATCCATCCCTGTAAAAAATTTAAAAAATATGTAAATTAATTTTATTTTAAATTTAATTTAACCTTCAAACTTAAATTCAATTTAATAAAATTTAAATTTAATTTAATTTTATTCAACTTATTATTAACTTTTTAGTTATTTATATTAGATTGATCTTTATTTATGTTTGAATAATTTATATTTAAAGAATTTTAATTAATTATATTTAAATTTTTAAAATTTTATTTATTATAATTAAATATTATTTAATTATATGTAAAAAATTTATTTTTTTATATTAATTGATGAGAAAGGAGGATTCCGTCCATTTCTCACAAAAAACGGAAATAGGGGGGTAAAATTTACTCCTCGTTAAAAATTTCTGCAAGAATATCCATCCCCACCATTTGCAAAAACGAGAACGGAAAAAACCACTCCAACTCCGCGAGTCCCGCTGACATCCCTATAGCCAGTGCAGCCGTGACGAACTTGTCTAAGATTTATTGTTGGGGCATGGACTAGACGAATTGGGACATGCAATTATTGCACTTACACTAGCTATGATAAAGACATGATATATTGACTGGACTAATTGACGCGTGGACTTTGCTTAGAACATTCGGCGGGCGGAGCTACCTCAGGCTCTCCTTAACATTTTTTGAAATTTTAGAAGTTTGCTCCCTAATTTTATTTTATTATTTTTTAAAAATAATTTTATTATCATTTTACTTATTTTTTATTATTAAATATTACTTTTAAGTAATAATAAAAAAGAAAACTATATATTATTAAAAATTTTAAAAATACTATTTTTATTTATATTTCTATATTAATCATAATAATACTT